ATTTTGGAAGGTGGGACCACTCTAATTAAGAGAAGAACAGGAACATTTTATTCATTTATTTTTAGATAAAACAAGGGCTACTGTATGAATATGCAAATGTATGGATTTAGCAAAATAGAAAGGACTACAGGCACATATATGACAAGCATTTAATGAATAGAAGATAGGCATTTTAGAGATGATCAATTAACAACTAAAACATGAATGAATAGATGAGGACAGAACTTAATACTTCTCATAATCTAATAATACAAAACATATATCAATAATAATAAATAAAACAACTAAAACATGAATGAATAGATGCATTTTCGCTTAGTTGGAAATGGTGTCATGGGTTTCAAAATGTGACCCAGGTAGCCAAGAAAATCTGAATCATTAGAAGGATCTTATATCTATAACTCAACTGCGAATTTTGGACCAAAACAGCCAGCAAAACGAAAACATAGAAACGGCTTTAACATGTCACTGAAGCAGTAAGGCAACAAAGAGATCGAGGAAGCCAAGCCATCGGAATGAAAATGCGATTACATTAACAATGACAAACTAGAAGAAGAACATCAGACATATTAGGCATGCTAATTACAACAAGACGATCATATGATTCGAAACAATATGAAAACCAAGCTTAAACAGCTATAAATCAGATTTACATTTAACTAAGACAATGAAATCAATAGCACAATGATCAGTTAGAAATTCCAACCAAACAGACTTTCGAACAAAAGCATGGAACAAGGATGAAGCCAAAGAGATCAACAACAGACTCGAAATCAAACAAGACGTGAATGAATGAGGGGAGAAGTATTACCTTTTTCTGGGCAGCAAACTGGACGAAACGAGCAAATCAGCAGCGAAATGAGACTCCAATAAACAGCAGCAAAGTGTCGAGTTCGAAAAAGAAACGGAAAGTTGAGTACTCTATATCTCACTTCTCAATTTTCGGGTCTATTTTTGCCTCCAAAATCTGTGTATTTCTATCTATCCTTTCCCTTATATCGACTGAAATTCCCCCCAAGTTCTACTTCGTTTTCCTAGCTATATTCTATAATTGCATTTTTCTCTCTAACACTAGTTCTTTTTCCCCAACCTCTCCAACCCTAAACATTGAAGAAGAAATAGAGGAGATTTAGGCTGGAAATGGGGAGGGAAGAATTGGGTGATTCCGAAATTTCTCCCGAGGATAAGGCTGACCAGCTATCAATTGTACCAATTCAAACGGCAAGAAAATCGCAGGACGGAATCGAAAGGTGGAAAATTCGAGAGGGAGAGATGACACGCGCGATGCTTGCTCACTGCGTTGGACTCGGGTTCGCTGGGCTCCTGCTCGCGATTTTCTTGCTGGAGCTACTGGGTTTCGTTTTGGAGTTGCTGGACGCGAGAGAGAAGACGCAGCAGGGGTCGTATTTGGTTGGATTTGCTAATCGTTGCTGTTGTATTGTATTGTATGTTGTAATGAGTCTCTTTGGAATTGAGAGTGAAATTGAAAAGATGGGCTGATGGGTCTGAAAACTTTGAAATAAAAGGCCCAAAAACTGATTTTACAAATAAGTTTAAAGGCAGTCAAAAAGGGTAATTAAAATTAGTAAAAATTAGGCAAATGACATAGTATAAGAAAGAAATTACTTCCTTTTCCTACTCTTTCATTAATTACCAAAAATTCCTTTTATTAGTGTTTTTCGGATACATAATATAGCAGTGTGGATACTTAATATAGCAGCGCGGATACTTTAATTAATAACGGGCGGATACTTAAATTATTAAGTTGTTAGCAACACAGATACTTAATTAACGGGCGGATGCATAATATAGCAGCGCGGATACTTTAATTAATAACGGGCGGATACTTAAATTATTAAGTTGTTAGCAGCACGGATACTTAATTAACGGGCGGATTCATAATATAGCAGCGCGGATACTTTAATTAATAACCGGCGGATACTTAAACTAATAAAGTATTCGGTTAAGTTGAATTGGGGGAAAATAAGGGATTTTTGTATTTTAATAAAAGAGTAGGGAAATATTGAGAATAGGTAAAGAAGTGTTGTGTATTTAATTAATTTTTCCTTAAAATTACAATAAAGGGCTACAGTTGAATTGAGAATTTGGCCTAATTGATTGCAATTATAGTCATTGTATTAAGGACTTAGCCAAATTGAGTTAATTAGTAAATTCGATTAATAATTAAATAGGACAAATTAATATAATTAATGAGCTTCTTAATCTTAACAAAATAAAATAATTAAATTAAATATACACTAATTAATTCAAAATTATTACTCCTATTAATTAACTAAACTAATTTAATAAAATATTTACTAAAAAAACAAAATCTTTTGAGACTAGAATTACTCGAAAATAACTAGAGAAAATATTTGATTTATTTAATAAAACTAATTATTTTAAATCGTTTAAAATTGAAAAAGCTCGACGATTAATCGTGGAGGTCCAAAATTGAGTGTCAACAACTATTTAGTTTTATTTCACCAAATTCACTTAACTATTATATGTTTTATCACAAAAATCACATATGCTGAAAAAATCAATTCTCGATGAGCAATATTTTATTGAAAATTTTCATTTATTTAAAGAGTCATAATTAAGTGTGATTTTTGTATTAGAAAACATAATTAAGTGACTTCCGTGAAAGTAAAAAAAAAATAAAAAAACTTAGTTATGTGACCATCTATGAAATTTGCCCTCAAATATTAATTTTATATTCCTTTCGTTTTAATTTGTTTGACTTGCTTTTCTTTTTTTTCTATTTAAAAAAAGAATGTCTCTTTTCCTTTTAAGTAATTCTTTAAATTCAACTTTCAACGTAACATTTTCTGACCACAACATTAAAGGGCATTTTGATACATTTGATATATCTTTAATTTATTAGGTTCACAAAATTCAAAAGTCTTCTACTTTCTTAATCTACGTGTCAAATTAAAATAGATCAAACAAATTGAAATGGATAGAGTAAAAAGTAGAAATTAAAGATTGTAGTTGCTAGGGAGAAATTAAAGATGATTTGAAAGTGTTTTATAACTAAGTTAATAATTAGGTAGTGCCATTTTATAGGTAAAAGAAGATAAAATAAAGAAGAAGAGTGAACTCTTACTACACATACAAAAAACTAACAAATTAATTAGTGAAAACTTGTCCATTAATTAAAAAATCTTGTTAGTTCATAAATATAATGATTTTGAAGTTTTCATATTTCAAGGGATAGGTGTAGTTTGACCTTTGCTTAAGAATAGAACAAAGTATAATTTTTAGTGAAAAGATACTTTAAGTCATCATGTTGTGCACGTAAATGAAATTTTAAATCCTTGATTTATTGAAACAATTTTATGGAAGACTTTACTCAAAGTTTTTTTTAACTACTTCTAGGTAGACATTAATTGTTATCTAGCTCTTTTTTCAATTGAGGATTTTTATCAATTTTAAATTATTAATATTATTATTATCATTTAATTATAATTAATTAATAATAGCAACCAATTTGCTATAATGGCATCAAGGGATCGGACCCAAATCGTCGTGAGTGACACCCACACTAAACCTCTAGTGGGAGAACCAAAACTACAACCCAAACCAAGCAACTAGAACAAAACAAAAACAATTAACTAAAAGAAAATAAAGTTCCCATAAACTTCAACAAGAGTCTAACAAAAGAACTAACAATGCGGAAGAAAATAACCTATAACCTGAAAGTCAATGTACCAAAACATCTTAACGATAACCAAGTCTAAACAAGAAGGGTCACAGCCCCAACTAACATAAAAACATCTAAAGAACTAGTTTAAGTCCGAAATGTGGACATAGACTCAAAGAGAATCCAAACCAGCCCGGAAGATGCTAGCTCACCCTTGAATTCGAAAGCAACGATTACAGATCTTCTAAGCGAGGTCTGTCAATAGCCGCCGGAAGATGCCCTGTACTCAATAAAAATAAAAGCAAGTGCAGTATCAGTACACAATCACCGTGTACTGATAGGATCACGCGGCTATCCCACTAAGTGTAACACAAACAAGTCATCACAACAATATAACCATGCAATATACAGAACATAACAACATTAGATATCACATGTTCAACAATACACAATTATCACAAGTAGTTGGTCCTCTCATGGAACCCAAACCCAAACTGTTAGTGCACTAGAACGTGGTATCCGATCCAATAATTAAGCCGGAACATGGCAACCGATCTCATAGTTATGCCGAAACGTGGCAACTGATCCCAATTAGTTATGTCGGAACATGGCAGTCGATCCATCAACACACCACAATCACACTCACAAATATATTCTCAATAATCATACAATCAAGAAGTGATTCATGGCACATAGTTATTCATCTATCTCATTTACAACCAGTGTGATCAACAATGCAACATTCGCATACATACATGCATCATAATGAAGCAATAACAAGAATACATTAAACAATAATAGAATCACAACCATCACCTACCTTGAAACAAGCTTGAAACCCTATAAAACTTGATCCTTCGCTTTCCGAATTCGTTTTGCTAGTTTGTGGTCTACAAACAATCAATATAATACGGGAATCAATAAACAATCACTAATTACCCAGATTACTAACAATTCTACAAACCCTGGATCATCCTATAATCCAATAATGGTTGTTTCCACCATGAATTCTAAGATAAAAAAACCCCTCCCCATCGGTAACAACCCAAGAAATAGGTTCTACGGATCGAAAAATGAATTCGGGGAGTTAAAATCTTACCTTTAGCCTCAAGAATGGTGAAAAACTGTCAAGAACTCGTATGGGGTCGTATCTTGGCTCTCAAAGTTGAAAAGTGCAGAATAAAGACGTTTTGAGGTTTTATTAACGACTTAAATCGCGTCAAACCCGCCACAGTCGCCACCACACCGCCACAACGGCCTGCCTTGGCGGCAGAAATCCCACCCCAGCGGCTTGCACGGAGACAAAGAGCTATTTTGAAAATCCCAAGATCCCCATTTCACAACACACCTTCTTTCAAAGACGCTCAGAAACAGTGGCGGATCCAGGATTTAAAGGTTGTGGGTGCTCACTTCCTTTAACATAAACATGTTAGCAATCACATAGTGTAAGCGTATACTAACTCAAACTCTTTAATAAAAAAAGTAAACGTATACTAACTCAAACTCTTTAATAAAAAAAAGTAAAAAAAATAAAACAACGATTAATATTATCATCATAAAAAACAACCACTAGTTATAAGTCACAATGACCTACTAGTAATATTATCATTACAAAAAGAGACTTCTAGTCTTAAAGTTATAATTGTGCTCGACGACTTTTCATATGTTGAAAATGATAAATAATAGCATCATTGCTTACATTTGCGAATAGCTTACGCTCTACATAGCAAACTAAACAACAATTCAAAAATTCATCACCAATACTATTGCGAAGTTCATTTTTAATGTACTTCATGGATGAGAAAACTCGTTCCACAGAAGCAGTAGCAACGGGAAGAATGAGAGTCAACTTGATAAGCAAATAAACAAGTGGCCAAATTTGATGCAAATCTGACTTGACCAATACTTTAGCAAGATCACTAATTCCCTTCAAGTTGAAGAACCTCTTGTCAGAACCACATACATAAACTATAAAACTATCAAGCTGAAAACTGAGATCTCGAAGCTTGTTGCTGTCAAACTCATTCATATAATATTCAGCCAACCTCATTATCTTACCCTTATCAAAACTACCAAATGAATTAACTGGATTCAAACTAGCCATACCGAGAAGTAAGTCAGTACTCACAACATCAAAACGATTATTAAGCTCTTGAAGATGCAAATCAATAACATCATAAAATATTTCAACACACAAATGATAAGAATATGTAAAATCAAGAGCTTTACGCTTTGACTTCCCAGGAAAGTAGCTAGCATCCATCTCCGGAATGACTATATCATGTTTATCACAAAAAGAAGAGACATCATTCATTAATGATTCGAATTCATTATCCCTCATATTTTGTAATCTTTGCTTTGTAAGAGCAAGAAATCCCATAGCATTGACAATATCTTGATCCATCATTTGTAATGAGAAGTTCAATTCATTTGTCATCATAAGAACTTTCCACATCAAGTGCAACATAAAGGCAAAATCAAATTTCTTAATCGTATCCACAAGAGTTTTAGCAAGAAGTCTATCAGTATAGTTTGGACACTCACATCCAGTAAATTCAAGCACATGAATAACTGATGGAAATAGAACAATAAGATTATCTAATGTTCTACAATGAGAACCCCAATGAGTATCACCTGGCCGCTGAAGCCCACGTTCTTGATTTAATCCTCGCCCAATATGCACTTCCCCTGATATGAGCAACTTCTCTAACTGTTCGGCTTGGTGTTTTCGAAGTAAATCTCTACGCTTAAAAGATGCTCCAACAATATTTAACACATTAGTAACTAAGCAAAAAAAGTCATCTACATTTGAATCCTTCTTTGCAAGAGCCATTAGTGTTAACTGCAATTGGTGGGCAAAACAATGAATGCAATATGCCGATGGAGTCTCATTTATAATCAAAGTTTTAAGACTATTTAGATGTCCTTGCATATTGCTAGCTCCATCATAACCTTGCCCACGTATTTGCGATGGACTTAATGAGTGATCTGAAAGAAAAGAGTATATTGCTTCCTTTAATGAACAAGCAGATGTATCACTAACATGAATAATACCAACAGATCGTTCTATCACTTCTCCTTGTTTGTTAACATATCTCAAAACAAGTGTCATTTGCTCCTTGTGTGATACATCCTTTGATTCATTGACTAGTATCCCAAAATAATCCCCATCTAAATCTTCAAGAATAGATTTGATTGTTTCCTTAGCACAAGAATCAACAATATCCTTTTGAATACTTGGAGAACACATCATTTCATTTTTTGGAGCTTTTTCTAAAATAATGCTTCCAACATCTTCATTAATATCTCCATACCATTGCAAAAGTTCAAGAAAAATACCTCTATTTGAAGAAGATCAACTCTCATCATGTCCATGGAATGATATTCCTAATTTCAAGAGAAATCTTGTCACATCAACTGAAGCACTCAAGCGACGCCGAGACTCACTTTTTTCTTTCTTGGACTTTTTATCAAAGGAAGTGCGTATTGACTGTGATTGATTCATCAAATCAAGCATCTTGTTGAAACACTTGTTGTGGATGCTATTTATATCTCCAACATAAGCTCTAAATCTTTCAATAGCTTTGTTCCAAGCTCTATAGCCAGTCTTTGTGAAAGCAGCATCAACCACATATCCACGACTTTCACATTCATTTTTAAACAAATAGCAACACAAACAAAATGCAACATCTTTTGTTATGCTATACTCCAACCACTTACGACCATTAAACCAATCAGGAAAAAAATGCCGCATTTCCTTCCCAAACTTAGTTTTAGGAAATTTATGATCCTTAGGTTGGCAAGGCTTTTTAAGAATATAATATCTCCTAATATCATCACGTATATTAGGATTATATTCTGCAATGGGCTTTCTAATTCCCGGATCAGCTTTAAGAGATTCTAAATCAACATCTGAAATAAATGTTTTCCTTTGAATTTTCGGAGCTATGGTTGAAGCGGTAGATGGATGAGTAGAGCTAGAACTTGGATGCCCAATTTTCGATCTTGTGACATACTTATCCATCTCAATTTACAAAGATAAATTTCTGCAAAAAAATCAATTTTATCATAAAATTAATTCACATAATTCAATTAATTTTTATTGAAATCTATAACTTTCTATCAACAACCCAAACAACAATTAATAGATCTATTTGATCTTTCAACACCACAAGCAATAATTAACAATATATGAGTCAATGAGCACAAAATTTTCAATTGCACAATTTGTTATTTGTATACATCCTAAAATTTAATTTTTGAATCAAGTAAGTTGGTAAGAAAAAAAATTATTTCAAAAGTATTCAAAAAATATATTTTTAATCACAAAACACTAAATATGTGAGACTCTAAAGTCTAAATCTATTTATCAAGTAACAAAAAAAATTATGTGGAATATATTTTAAGAATTAAGACTTAAAGAGTACTAGCCATAAGCAATGAAAATCTCAAAACCTAATTTCTCTAACCCTTTTTTTTTCATTATCTAACTTTAATCAAACATCAAATCTTATTACGTTGCTTTTGTATTTTGATTTTGAAAAGAAACAAGCTTGAAGTTTGTTGTTGGGCTGGCTGCTTTCTCTTTGAAACAAGAAGAAGAAGAAGAAGAAGAATGATTTCCTCTTTTTGTTAAAAGAAAAAATTCCATAAAAGTGGGCAGTGGAAAGGTTTTAAAACATAGAAAAAGGTTAAAAATAAAAAAGAAAGAAAAAGTTAGTCACCCTAAACTAATTAAGAATAGAAAAAGTCAAAACAAGTACAAAATTCGGAGTAAAATAAGCTCTTAATTAAAAAGGTGCAAAATTCGCTGGAAAAAGTAAAAAAAAGAATGGGGCTCACGGGATTCGAACCCTCGCCCTTTTGCTTCGCGTGCCTTATTTTTCCAAGTGTTGACCAGCGCACCCACGACTGCTAGTGTTCTATGGGTGCTTATTTTTCTTTAATAACGTATTTATTATATTTTCTATATATATATATATATATACAAAAAAATTTCCGGAGTCAATGGGTGCTCGAGCACCCAAAACTGACTACGTGGGTCCGCCCCTGCTCAGAAAACACCATCCACGCTAAGATCAATTTCGGGAGTTCTACTCGCCCGAATTCAATTCCGTAAAGTTGTACGGATTCCTTAATGTGTTATCTATCCATTCATGTACTCAAAATCATAAACAACACACCCGATTGTTACCAAATTTTCCCACACTTTAAAGACTCTGATTTCGTCCAAATCTGGACTAGGTTGGGAATTTTCAAGTTACTACCGGAAAAAAATTTTGACCCAAAATTTTCCCCGTTGGATTTTCTATAACGACGGAACCCGGTCGTTACAATAGATACGAATTAACCGTCACTCGTCCCCGAGTGACAAACTAGAAAAAATGGGATAAAGTAAGAATGAAATAGTACATGAATCGACGAACAATTGGGGATACCAGTGTTCTTAATGGCTCTTGCCATTTGCCAAAGGTGCTATGGCGAGGCGAGGCGAGCATGTCACACCATTTCTCAGTGAGGCACGACGAGATCAATTAGGTGACGTGAGGCGACGTAATGACGACCTGAATGGCGGCGCCTTTTAGTTTTAAAATATTAAAAAGGTCTTGACTTAATAATATTAGTCAAAATTAGGGGTTTTTTTTTTTCATATTTCCATACTTGGGTCAGTCCCGACTTGCGTTTCTTCTCCTCAACCTCGCAATCTCTTCTTCTCCTTCAGTCGACTCGCGCGAATTGAAAGGTATTGCCTCTTTTCTTTCTTCTTCTCTTGTTTTCTTCATTTCTTCTCTTCAGTCCTCTTCTTCTCTTACTTTCTTTTTTTCTTCTGTTCAATTTCTTGTGAAGTGAATCTGAAATTCTGATATCTGAAGTTTTGAACTGCCTTCTCAAAAAAAAAGATTTTGAGATACTACTGCTTGCTGCCTTCTCTGCTTTGTTTTTTTTCTCTGTTTTCTTCATTGCTTTGTTTTTTTCCTCTGTTTTCTTTGTTCACTGTAAAATGCTGCTGAATGCTACTGCTTTCACTATGCTGTCTTTATTTTTAAAAAATTTAATTAATTCTTCTATAGTAATTAATAGTAATTAATATAATATCTGTTGTACTGTACAATAGTGAATTCAATGGCGGATGCTAGCAAAAAGAGAGACTTTGGATGGAATTATGGTACTCAAGGATTAATGAAAGATTCGGTTAATTGTAACTTTTGTGGGAGTACTTTTAATGATGGTATTACTCGACACAAATAACATTTAGTAGGTGGTTACAAAAATGTAAAACAATATTCAGCTTGTCCGTCGGTGATTAGAGAAGAAGTAAGGGCTTATATGCAAAATAAAATCGCTAATAATCCAAAATTTCAAGTGAGGTAGCCAGAAGAATATATTGATATTGATGATATGGATGAATATGCTGAAATGATGCCTCCCTCCAAAACTTCAAGGATATCTTCTAGTGGAGGTGCATCATCCACCGCGCAGAATGTGACGAAAGGCCTTATGAATCTCTATTTTCCACAAAATTCAACACAAAAAAGAGGCTTTGAAAAAGGAGGAGGAATTGATGAAACAAAGAAAATTCTAAGAGAGCGTGCAGTAAGTGTTTTTGCAATATGAATGTATGATGCGGGACTCCCTTTTAATTGTGTCAATTACAAATCATTTGATAAGTTTATTGAGACAATAGGACAACATGACCCCGGAATGAAGCCTCCTACATTCCATGAAGTTAGAGTTACTCACCTAAAAAAAGAGGTGGAGAAAGTGGAAAAAATTGTTGATGAGCATAAAGTGCAATGTACAAAGTTTAAATGTTCCATTATGATGGACAAATGGACGACACGAAATGGTAAATGATCATCAAAATTTTGGTGAATTCTCTAATCGGTAATGTATTTCCTGGTTCTATTGATGCTAGCAATGAATCTACCAATTCCACCAAAATGTACAAGTTGTTTGAAAGCACTATTGAAATAATTGGACCGGAAAATGTTGTACAAATTGTCACCAATAATGCTAGTGAGAATGTTAAAGAGGGAAGCATGATGATGGGTGCGTACCCACACATTATTGGACTCCATGTGCCGCTCATTGCATCAACTTGATGTTTGGTGACATATTCAAGGTTAAGCCATATGCTTCCGGTAATATCACTCTCCTATCCTCTAACTTTCTTTATAGTCAATATTTAATACTCATTAGCTACTAATTACTATAATCTTACTTTAACAGTTTTTAAGAAGGCCATCAGAATCCATTTTTACATTAGTCAAAGGCCATTGTTGTTAAACTTGATGAGAAAATTCACCAAGGAAAGAAATTTGGTGAAACCGTCCAAGACAAGATTTGCAACGACCTTCTTGACTTTGAGAGCTATGTACATACAAAGAAAAAACTTGAGAACTTTAGTCCTCTCAACCGAATGGACTTCAAGTAAATTTGCAAAGGAAACTTTGGGGAAAGAAGTTGCCAATCTTATTATTTCTGCCCACTTTTGGGATGATGTTGTTCGAGCACTTACAGTTTGTGGTCCTTTAAAAGTGCTTCGTTTGGTGGATGGGGAGAAAAAACCACCAATGAGCTATATTTATGAAGCAATGGATAGAGCCAAAGAAACTATTGCACGGGGTTTTCGTGGAGTTAAGAAGAAATATGAGAAATTGTTTGAAATTATTGATGCAAGGTGGTCAGACCAACTATATCAGCCTTTGCATGCTGCAGGCCATGTTTTGAACCCATGATTGTATTATAAAGCTCAAGAAGAGGGAACTTTACTACATAGTCTGTGGATTGAGTATTATGCATGTGTTGAGAAGATGATCCCCGATACAACAATACAAGATTTACTAGTCGCTGAGCTTCCTAGGTACAAAATGGCAGATGGACTATTTGGATGTGGTTCGACTAAAAGAGCTAGAGACACAAGGTCGTCGGGTAAGTGAGTTAATTTAGCTCTTACTTAAATTATTTGACTTATTTATACTCATTAACCTTTAAATTTATTCTATTATAGTTGAATGGTGGTCTTTATTTGGTAGTGAAACACCAAACTTGCAAAAGTTTGCCATCAAAGTATTAGGCCTAACTTGTAGCTCCTCTAGATGTAAGCGAAATTGGAGTGTGTTTGAACACGTAAGTAAAAAAATTATATCTTAATGTCCATATTATATTATTATCACTATCTATTAGTTAATATTTATAACTTATACACATATTCATTCCAAAAAGAGGAATAGGCTTGCACTATCGCGTCTCAAAGTGTACATTAAGTACAATAGAACATTGAAATGTCAATATGATGCTCGTGATCTCATTGATCCAATTCGCTTGGATAACATTGATGATTCAAATGAATGGTTAGTTGGATGCCCCGAAGATCAAAAAGATGAACTAGTATATGAGGATGATGATCTTACTTGGGGTAGTGTTGCTACGTCAATTGGAGCTGATAAGAGTATCTATAATCTTAGGGGACTTTCTTCAAGATCAAGAGCACTTGACAAGGGCAAAGGAGTAGAAACTACATCTACAAGTTCAACTTCAAGAAGGACTCGGACACTAATTGATGAAGACTACGAGGAGGAAGAAGATGATGAGCAATATAATGATGTAGAGGATGTTGATCTCCAAAAGTTGGATAGTTTTGAAGAAGAATAGACTTTTAGAGTTCTAGTATTGTGTTTTGAATTATTGGGTCTTTAAAATTTTAGACTTTTAATATCTACTTTTAGTTTTTGAATTGAAATATTTGCTAATATATGTTATTGACTTATTGCTATTGAGATTTTGGATATTTATAAATGCAATTAAATATTTTTAATTTTTGGTATTAATTGGAGCCTCGATTAAAAAAAATGAGCGCCTCACCGCGTGGCAAGATGGCCCTTGTCGCCTTTTGTCACCTCTCGCCGTCCAAAACACTGGGGGATACTTGTCTCACATATCCTTCTCGGTTTCCCTAGTAGCTTCCTCAAATAGACGATGCTTCCATTGAACTTTCACGGACTTAATCTCCTTGGTCCTCAGCTTACGCACATCACGATCAACAATTGCAATCGGTTCCTCCTCATATTGGAGGTCTTTGTCTAATACAATCGAGTCCCACTTAATGATGTAATCTCCATCACCATGATATATCTTCAACATGGACACATGAAATACCAGATGAACCCCTGATAAGTTAGGAGGTAAGGCCAATCGACAAGTCACGAATCCTACACATTCAAGAACCTCCAAGGGACCAATGTATCGCGGACTTAACTTGCTCTTCTTGCCAAATCTCATCACCCCTTCCATGGGTGATACCTTAAGAAGAACATTCTCACTGGTTTGAAACGCCATGTCTCTTACCTTATGATCTGAATACTTCTTTTGCCTACTCTGGGATGCTAGAAGCTTAGCTTGAATACTCATCACCTTGTCTTGAGCATCCTTCACTAAGTCCACCCCTAAAGGTTTCACATCTCCAGCCTCAAACCATCCTATGGGTGATCTACATACTCTCCCATAGAGTGCCTCAAATAGTGTCATATCAATGCTAGAGTGATAACTATTATTATAAGAGAACTCACACAAGGTTAAGAACTTATCCCAATGTCCTCTAAAGTCAATCACATGCTCTCAACATGTCTTCTAACACTTGAATGGTCCTTTTCGATTGTCCGTCTGTCTGTGGATGGAAGGCTGTACTAAAAGTGAGTTGTGCGCCCGATTTCTCATATAACTTCCTCCAAAACTTGGAGGTAAATTGGGTACCGTGATCTGAGATGATAGAAATGGGCACTTCATGCAACCTCACTATCTCTTTCAAATACACCTTCGCCAATTGTTCAGCATTATATTCTATCCTTATAGGAAAAAAATGGGCTGACTTTGTCAATCTATCAACCACTACCCAAATAGAATCAAACTTCCCCAAAGTCTTGGGAAGACCAACCACAAAATCCATGGCTATCCTTTCTCACTTCCATTCCGGAATTGACATTCTTTGAAGCAAACCCACCGGTCTTTGGTGTTCATACTTTACTTGTTGGAAATTTTGACACTTAGCCACAAACTCTGCAATGTCTTTCTTCATGCCTGACCACCAATAAATTTGCTTCAAATCTTGATACATCTTGGTCACACCCGGATGAATGGAATATCGCGAACCATGAGCTTCCGCCAATAATTTCGGAATCAAGTTATCAACTCGAGGAACACAAATCCTTCCTTTAAAATTAAGCACACCATCCACATCAAGAGTGGTATCTTGTGCCTTGCCAATCACAATTTCTTCTTGAGTTCATCCAAATTCTCATCATCAAATTGTTTGGCCTTGATCTCCTCAATAAACGTGGCCCTAACCTCAATGCAAACTAACACCCCTAATTTCTCTGATATGCCCAATCGCATGAAGTTAGACTCCAAACGTTGAATTTCCTTAGCCAAATGTCGCTTGGATGCACTCAAGCAAGCTAGACTGCCCATACTTACCACTTTCCGACTTAATGTATCTGCCACCACATTAGCCTTGCCAGGATGGTATTGGATGGTCACATCATAGTATTTGAGTAACTCCATCCACATTCTTTGTCTCAAAATTAGATCTTTTTAAGTGAACACATGCTGCAAACTACGAGGATCAGTAAATACTTCACACTTGACACCATAAAGATAATGTCGGCAAATTTTAAAAGCAAATACTACCGCTGCCAACTCCAAATCACGTGTTGGATAATTCCTCTCATGCATCTTCAATTGACACGATGCATAGGCAATAACATTATTCTCTTGCATCAACACCATACGCAAACCATAACGCGAAGCATCACAATAAACAACAAAATCCTTTCCTTCAACCGGTAATGTAGAATAAGTGCGGTGGTCAAAAGAGTCTTGAACTTTTCGAAGCTCTCCTCACATTTTTCAGTCCATTCAAATGGTACCTCTTTTTTAGTCAAATGAGTAGAAATAGAAGCAAAATTCTTCACAAATCGACGATAATAGTTAGCAAGCCCTACAAAACTCCTAATTTCGGTCACAGAACTTGGTCGAACCCAATTCCTAACCGCCTCAATCTTTTGGGGATCTACCATTACCCCTTCTTTCGAAACCACATGCCCCAAAAATGCAACCGAGTTCAGCCAAAATTCACACTTAGAAAATTTTGCATACAACTTTTGTTTCCCAAGAACTCCCAGAATAATATGAAGATGATCGACATGCTCTTCCTTACTTCCCGAATAAACTAGAATATCATCAATGAACACTATAACAAAAGAATCAAGAAAGGGTTTGAACACCCCATTCATCAAACTCATGAAAGCTGCGGGGACATTAGTCAATGCAAAAAAAATAACTAGGAACTCATAATGCCCATAACGAGTCCAAAATATTGATTTTGGTATATCCTCAGGCCTAATCTTTAATTGATGATAACCAGACCTTAAATCAATTTTAGAGAAGATGGATGCACCTTGCAATTGGTAAAAAAAATCATCTATCTGAGGCAATGGATACTTATTTCGAATGGTCACCTTATTTAATTGCCGGTAATCTATACACATTCTCATACTACCATAATTTTTCTTAACAAACAACACTGGGCACCCCATGGGGAAGCACTATGACGAATAAATCCTTCATCAAGAAGCTCTTGGATTTGAGCCTTAAGCTCTCTTAATTCTGCCAGAGCCATACGATAAAGAGAAATAGAAATGGGATGAGTACTAGATTCTAAATCAATGCAGAAATCTATATCTCTATCCGGAGGCATACCAGGTAAATCAATAGAGAATACTTCTCTAAATTCTGACACCACAGGAATAGACTCAATAGAAGGAGACTCAACCTCCACATCCCGAATATTGTCCAAATAAGCCAAACAACCCTGCCCAGCTAGTTTGCTCGCCCAAATGAAGGATATGATCTTAGCATGCTTAGGCTTGTACACCCCTTCTCACTCTAACTTTTCCCTTCCCAGAATTTCTAGAGTCACAAACTTAGTATTACAATTCAATACATCATAATAGAGGGGCAACCAAGTCATGCCTAAGATTATATCAAAGTCAGTCATATCCAAATCACTAAATTAGCCCAAGTATGATAACCCATAAACAAAATAGGACAAGCACGATAGACATGGGTAAGTATGATAGACTCTCCGATGGGGTAAAAACATAGATGTGGGAATCAAGTATATCACAAACCATATCAAAATTCGAGGCAAAACGCAAGGCCAAATAAGAATAAGTAGAACCCTGATCAAATAACACATTAGCCATTCGGTCACAGACAAGAATAATACCTGTGATCACCGCATCAGATGCCTTTGCCTCATTCTTACCCGAAAAAGCATAACATTGAGCTCTATCATCTTGATGAGCCACTTCCCTGCCTGGTTGCACGTTACCCCTGCCTGCATTACCATTTCTACGACCCACACGACCTCGCTGATTACCTCTTCGCCCACCTTGTGGGCGCCCTCGACCATTATTACCATTCCCCGCGGGTACCACTACTCTAGACTGTGCGGCGCATCTCATATGCCTAGGTTCTCCACAATTGTGGCAAGTATGATAAAAAAATGGCTTGCTGCCCGCCAAAGACGCGACTCCCTGGCTATTGTGAATTAAATTATGTGGTGGAGTTCCCGAGTAATTACCTGTAGAAGCGGGCATGGTGGACTGAATAGGTCGGGCTGCAAGTGTTGGTCTACCAGATCCTTTCGAATAGGAGCCCTGAAAATTTCCAAAACTCT